GTTTTTTGAAATGCTTTTTTGATAGGAGACGCTTGAAGATTTAGATACCAACAGAGATGGAAAGATTGATCTCGATGAATATACAAGTACGTTTTGTTATCTGATGCATTTATTCGTTATGTTTAAGTTCTTATGAACTTGCCTATCGTACTGTAATATTACATCTCTTTTTCTCAGGTCGTTCGAGTTAGTTAATTTTGTGTGCATAATAATTCGATGCGTATGCAAATGACGTGTCTACGTCATCAGTTACTGCGCACTTTATTTTCATTTGGTAGCTGTTACTAATACCGCATATGGCGACCGCCCTTTTGTCTTTAACCACTTCTGTCCTTACGTTATTTTTAGGCTTTTTATTTGTGCCAATAGTTGAATGTGTGGCTTTTTGGTCATAAATCATCCATATTTACATAAGTTATTTGTCGGCTCGCTTCTGTTTTGTAGTCACCGATTCTTTGTCATTTGTTTTAAACAGACATTGGGGTGAAGAAACATATGAAGGACAAATTGATTTTACGTTTGAAATCACTTCATTTAGATTGTTCCCCCATCCTCCCCCTTAAATAATTTTTACTTCCAATTGGTCTAAGTGCTTTTTAGCCCAACAAATCTGCTCATTTAAAGGCAATCTTATGGTTCGGCCAGATGCGATTTGATTATTATTGTTTTTATTATTATTGCCAACTTCAAGGCCAAAATTCTCACCACTTTTCACGTTGGCAAAGCATTTGATCATAGCGAACAACAGAGCAGTTCACTATGGGAGCATAAGTACGTAGTGTTGTTGGGGTATTGCAATAAAACTTGATCCATGTATTCGGGTTATCTATTTCCTTAAGTACCAACCAACGAATGCTCATTTTTCAGCATTTGTTCGTTGTTCTGATAATCAGTGCGTGTTATTGTTCTTTTTCTCACAATAGTCAAACTTCTATTTGAATGACGAAAGCTATTAGTTTAAGTATAATAGATAAATAAAATGCACGTAGTCGATTGGTAGCGTTCGAGTGCTTAAAGATAACTCATTCTTATTATGCGGTAGCTCGGGATTTTCTCTTCTGGAATATTTAACGTAGATTAACATGCGATCTTATTAAAATTATACTGACCTATTCTGTGCATAGCTAGCTAAACCTAGTTGATCACTTGCTAATCGAAGTATCTTGTTTACTTAGATTTCAAGTCTTTGTCGATTAGTAGTCTTATCGATAACTCAAAAGTATTGCTTTCTTACTGTTTTGCTCGAGTCTTCCTATTGCTCTTTTGAATCTAATGACTAGGGTGAAATTTTAGAGCAAAAGAACCAGCTTGACTTCATAGTTTTCCTGGGGCAAAGTCTTTTTTGTTTTAATCTTGGCTACAGAATTGTCAGAGCAGTCCGAAAAAGCAGATTTTCCCGCAGTACTTATGTTAACTTTTAATCCAATGTCATGAGACGCTTTGTATTTTTGTGGAAAGGCTTTAGGTGATAATTATGAAAAATTCAAGTTGATTTTTGTGCTTTCATTGTTGTAGGTTAGGGTCTCTTGTTCAAGCAGAGCCAGTTTAGAATCTAAATCAGTTTTACTTGATGCTGCTACCATTGAAGTAGTGTGAAGGCGGTTTTTATCCTAAACGTGTCCCAGAGTTTCCTAATTTTGTCATTTAGACCACTTGAGGCCTGTTTTTTGACAAACTTAGCCTGACCTTTCTTCCTTTCCCTTAACTTTAAGAGGATATGTGGTCTGATGACTCACCTGCTCCCGAATGGGTCAAGACCGAACAGAAACAGTTCAGGGAGATTCGTGACAAGGATAAGGACGGTTACCTGGACCGTGAAGAGATTCGTGCTTGGCTATTCCCCACAGACTATGATCATATCGAATCAGAACTCAAACACCTCATGTCTGAAGCTGATGATGATAAGGTTAGCTTACTGTTTTTCATATTTCTTCTTGTTGTGCAATTATGGATGATAAGATGGTTTTTCGCCCTTGCTTTAGGACGGAAAGCTGTCTAGGGATGAAATCCTCTCTCATTACCATGTTTTCGTTGGAAGCCAAGTAACAGATTTCGGTCAAGCTCTCTATCATGATGAACTATAAGAGCAATGTACAATATATGAAACTCGTTGATTTGAATATTACTTTACAATCTCGTTTTTACAACGACCAGCCTCTAAAAATGCGCTCTTCTTTCCTTCCGCTCATCCCTTCCCCCCCAAGCATTTGGATTTTTTCTATTTGATATAGCTTTATCTCCCACCCTCTACGTTACTACTTGTTTATCTATAATAATAACGTTTATCTATTTTCCAACCTTTTCGTTATAAATCCTCTTTGAATTAAGGCAAATTTGCTAAGTTTAGTGAATAAGGTAAGCAAGGTGGGACTAATGAGCATGACAATTGGAACACTGCTCATATAGATGTCAATTGGTCTATTTATAAATATTACGAAATGGATTTTAAAATTTTCTGCATGTCATGGCAAAGCATCCTGGCAAAAGGGAATGCCACAGATGGTGATGCTTGGTAGGAAACAGCAAGGAATAGCCAAGTTTATTCAAAAGTTGGCGGTTCTTCCAATTTGACGCATTAGAGTTGATGGATGAGCGGCAGACACGGATAGTGGAAGAGGTGGTAGCTGTTTATCGTGATGAAGGTGGTGGGGTCTGGGTCCTCATGCCATGTCACCTTCGTAATCAAGTCTTACTTTCCATAGTTTTTTACTTAGGAGGGGTCACTGGTCTAGCGATGCATGTTCTACATATCATTAAACTGAATAACTTCTCAATTGGTTCTATATTAAAATGCAGCCAAAATAACACCACTCATCCATCCATATATGATGGAATACGGTCGGATAGGTGTGGTGGTCAGCTCGAAAAATTAATTTTCCTATGGCTTGCTTCTTGGTTTTTTTAAGACATTTTAGATGGCAGAACTTAAAGGCATATGATTTTTTTATCATTTTGATACCAAACTTGACATTTTATTGATTCAAATTCCTATTTTTGTGGAATGAGGGGGAAGAAGTGAATCTAACTTATCAAGGTAGCCAAGCAAGAAAGAGTAATTCAATGCCACGGGTGGATGGGGAGCTATTGTTACACCCGATGACGGCAAGTTAACAGGGGAAAACAGATGATTTTGGCCCTCTTGTGCGTTGATGTCACAGTGGTCTACATGCACGTCTTCAAAGATTCAGAAGTCGCACGATCGATGTTCATCAATTGATATCCACTGCTGCATTTTTGCATCGGTCAAGAAGAAGTATGATTGAAAGAGAAGTTTTGTCAGTGTGGCTCTAGGATGCATTCCCTTCTCTGAGATAGGATTTTTGTGAGCCCTTTCCATTGTGAGCTTAAAACGTTTTCATCATCGCGGCATTTCTACTTAATTGATTTGAGGCAAATGCTTGTGTTGAACTTATTATATTCCTATCGTTGAAGGACATCGGTTGTTCACCGGCTTCCCACTCACGTGTTCTTTCATATTTCAGGACTTAATTATGATTCATTTTACAACTGAGGGAAATTCCAATCAACTCTTTCGAGTGTTTATAGAAATGAGTATCGTAATTATTCAAACGCCATAACTATCTGGCAGCTAGATGATAGAAACAGGTTACTGGAATATTTTGAACTAACATAGTTTCGATAAAGAGAAAACTACGTTAAAGGAAACCTATTGACTTTGCAATTGTTTACTGATTGCTCTCTTTAATTTTTTAACGGCCAAATAATTTTTTTTTGAAAAATGCACCCAATAGCACATGGGCGTGTCCTACAGCAGACTGATGCCGCCGACGTGATGAGTTTTATTGATATTTGGCGAAGGCCGTGGACGTAATGAACATGTTTCAAACGGCAATAGCGCCGCTTCTGTTACGGATCTACTACTAATGGAGCTTATTTTGAAGGAGAACCTTGAAAATGGATCAGGACTTCTTCCTACATAGTTATTATTTTGGTTCAGGGTGTGCGATAGACTTACCTCCACGTGGTGCACCCTGGGCAACGTATAATAATGCGGCAAAAAGTCTATAAACCGGCAGTTGACTTCTCACTTCAAACTACCATCACCCCACTGTATGTCATTGTCGACTTCTTCCACAGTAATCACCTCACCTTTTTTCTACCTTTGCGTCTGTCTCTTTTACATCTTTAAAACACTCTTCTGTTCACCCTCCCCTCTCGATTTTTTTTCACTTTGATGTTTCTTCTCCTCTCTGTGAAGCCTGAAGTCAACTAAAGGGCTAATGATAACTATCATAAAGCCTGCCATTTGATATAAATAAATTATTTTGGTTCAACATTGGCCGACGCAGATTAAGTTTTAATGAAGCACGAAATCAATGAGTATTTAACCGATCCCTTCGTTGTTGAAATAGATACGAATTTTTGCAAAATCGGTGTCAGTTGAAATGGCGGAATGCTGGCAATTCCACGTCACCATTTGAATGGCTCAAGTTGAACACTGATGTGCCAGAATGCCAAAAAGCAAATATTTGTTTTTTTTCCAGTTTTTATTTGCTTTTTAAACCAACTTTGTTTGATTATTATAGTGCCTACTTTCGTATTCGGTCTCTCAAAATAAATAGAAATAAGTTTTGTCGAAGGTAAATTGTTCAAAAAAATCTTACGCGCCACTACTCAAGCATAATAATGATAAGTTATTCTTCATCTCCAAATTAATTTAGCTTTCCAAACTCACCAAAAAAAGGTCAAAATGATTATACCTAAATGATCAACAAAATCACTTTTTGATGATTTGTATTTTTCGGATTTGTTCTTCTGCACATCACCAAAATAAAATATTTACCATAAATTCAATAGTGTTTTCTATCTTATTTTACAGAGCTAGTGGCTTTATTCGAAGTCCTCTATTTTCTATTAAACAGAAATTCTATTCAAATGATGGCGGAAAATTGTCATAAGTATTCGAAAACTTCATTTCTTTTTTAGAAATCAAACCCAATTTTGCATAGTGAGGAATTTTCCATTCCAAGGTATGAACATTTTCCAGGTGATGAATATTATTTATTTATTTATTTATATCAAATGGCAGGCTTTATGATATATATCATTAGCCCTTTAGTTGACTTCAGGCTTCACAGAGGGGAAGGAACATCAAAGTCACACAAAGTCGAGAGGTCGAGGGGGGGGGGGGACAGAAGAGTGTTTCAAAGATGTAAGAGACAAACACAAAGGTAGAACAAAGGTGAGGTGAGTACTGTGAAAATAGTCCAATATGCTATGCAGTGGGGTCATAGTAGTCTGAAGTCAGAAGTCAACTGCCAGTTAATAGACTTTTTTGTCGTATGAGTATACGTTGCCCAGGGTGCACCTCGTGGAGGTAAGCCTATTACACACCCCGTGATGAATACTACGTTGTGGAATTTTTTGCCAAAAACAGACACTCTAGTTATGTCAAAGGACACATTCTGGATAAATGAAAACCGGATGAATCAATACGTTTTCAGGAGTTTATGTTGAAGTAACTGCATTAAATGGGAATGAAATACAATAAGTAAGGCGATTAATTTTCGTTGTAAAGTGTAGTGAAATTACGATCTTATTAGTAAGTTAGAGGTGTTCTGACCCCAGGGTGATATTTAACTAGGCAGGATTGATCTATTAATCTTATTTTACCAGGTTATTTACCTACAAAGTTAAGACNTTAACTTTGAAATAGGAAGTTATCCTTTTTCCGTCATTTATCTCCATATTTATTCATGTGTGCACAATTGGGTAGAAGTTTTATCTCAAAATTTATTTATTTATATCAAATGGGAGGCGTATTGATAGTTATCATTAGCTCTTTAGTTGACTTCAGGCTTCACAGAGGGGAAGGAACATCAAAGTCACAAACAGTCGTAAGGGGGGGGGGGCGAACAGAATAGGGGTTCACAGATGCAAAAGAGGCAGACACAATGATAGAGAAAAGGGTAGGGTAAGATGAGTACTGTGGAAGTAGTCGAATATGACATACAGTTGCGTCATGGTGGTTTGAAGTCAGAAGTCAACTGCCGAATAATTGACTTTTGCCGTATGAGTATACGTTGCCCAGGGTGCCTCACGTAGAGGTAAGTCTATCACACACCCCATCTCAAAATAAAGTACACAAAAGGACACAAAAAAATTAAAACTCCTATATTGAAGTTGATTCAGACATAACATGTCAAGTTCATCAGAAGAAGAGTTCACAGCAATCGAAATGAATAGGAGGCAGATAACCTGGAGTCGCTTGTGCAAATAACTCATATTCTACCATCTCTCTTGCAGACCAGAACTAAACAAAACGGCTGATAACATTAACCATTGAATGCACAACAAAGTGGAGTAGTTCAGATACCTCTAACTTGGCAGACATATATGTAAACTACTGTCATTATACGTACTCATTTCAATTCCAGGTCAATTTGTCTTTTTAATGTCTATCAACGACGGGTGCGCGATAGACTTACCTCCACGTGGTGCACCCTGGACAACGTATCTTCGTAAGGCAAAAAAGTCTATCACTCGGCATTAGTTTTGACTTCGATTTATTATGATTAGCTTGAAAAAAGGCCCTCGACAGGGCTAATCAAAACGTCTTCAGATCCTCCAGTGGAATGCTGGAGGGATGTCACAGGACAAAAAGATCCAAGTACAGAAAATCCTACAAACCTATGATGTAGACATTTTCACAATTATGAAAGCAAACATTTCGGAT